ATGTTTCTCTTAACAGATTCTGCCAGGCCTGCTGAACATTTTCCTCACTATTTTCAGCATCTTCAGTACTTATCTTTTAGTTTTCCGATTTTGTCAGATGACTGTTGTTTCTGTTTCCACTGCTTGAATGCAGCAGCTTCCCAGTGTCTGAATGCTGTGATAGGAGCTCAGACCACTGGCTATTAAAGGCTATACAAACTCAATGCTGACATCATGGTTTTGCATTACATGTTGCAAACTGTTTGCAAGGGGTCATATCAATAGAGCAAACCGCTGCTGAGGCTTGTAGCTACTCCAGTAAGGAGATCTCCTGTCATGGTAGGCGAGGCTCTATGCCATTCTCACGCATCCACAGGGGCCTGTCAGCAGCCACTCTGACATTCATCACCCAACTATATCTCAGTCAATCCCTCTAAACTACCCTACAACAGATTACAAGAATTTTATTGAAGCATCGCCCTGCTAAAAAATTAGTAACTCCATCAAGCACAAGCACTCTTTTTACTCAGGAGAAAGAACATTTATCCTTCCACCTCTGCCACTTCACCAGTGCCATTACTGTTGTCTGTAAGCCAGCTCAGGCATTTGCTCATGTCAAGATGTCACATCTGAAGCTGGACCTTCTAGGCTTTCAGTTGCTCAAGATTCAACATTTTCTCTACTGAACATCCATAGCTTCCCAACAACCATGCTGCAGTCATTGAGGAAGCGTTGCATTTCCAGCACTAGCATAATACTGCAGGACTCCCCCAGTGTGGTTTAGACATTGCAAGTTGTTTCAGCAAATCAATGGTCTGCTCAATTACAAATGTCATGGTAGCATGATATTTATTGATTAAAATCAAAGTGTATCTTATGTGATTATAAACTGTGATTGATATATATTTTGAAATATCACTTCTTGTTATGCCTCACTGGGGTGGCATGCTGTAAATCAAGTCCTGCTGTTCCTGGAATCGTCAGAAGTCAAAGATTGTAAACATATGCAAAATTCTCCAATTTACTCACCTTTCAGACCCACATTGACAAAGCGTGAACTTCTGTACTTAACAAGAAATAATCTATTAATTATGAACTGTTGATACAAGTCTGCTCGCTAAAACACACAGCCCCTTATAAACTACCCTGACACATTCAGTCAGGGATTAAAAAAAAAACCTAGGGTATTATGGTGGATGGAAAGACTGGGAACGTAATTCAATAGTCCCTATACACAGTTTACTGAGATGTTTCTTGTGCTGATCTTCCTTCTCTGGACACTTTCACTTTTTTGCAGGACGCATGGGGTGACAGGGTCCAATTTAAAACATGATCAATTTAAAAAGTCACAACTTACAGCAGCTGGAAAAGGGAAAATAAAGTGAAGACTTTCAGGCTTGAGATGCTTCTTATTGCAAAAAAAACAGGACAGCTGCTGTCTTTGCAGAAATCCAGTTGCTTTCGCCAAAGATTCACACCCGAAGCCATTCAGCTACCAGGAAGTCCATCACAGTTGGTGATAGGAAGAAGGACTTTGTCATCGATAACTGATCACTAGTCCACAGACCAGTTACTTGTTGCCAGCCAGTGCTCCACTAATACACAATTCTTGGCTCGAGATCATCTCCAAGCAGAATTCCACGACTGCTTGAACATGTAGCCAAGTACAGTATTTACAATGAGTATCAGGTTTTTTTTCTAAAAGTGCAGCAATCCTTGTTTTAAAATGTTTAAAATGATTCATTTCTGCCTAATTTTTTAGTCCACGATCAGAAATACAGAAAAATAAAAAGACTTGGTGTTTACATTTTGAGTTTTCGTTTTTGAGTTAGTAACCTGTGGACTTTGCAATGTCTGAAATTAATAATTAAATTCTGTAACCACATTGATACATTTTAAGAGAGGTTTTGGACCGAGCGTTAGAATAATTGGGATTTTGTGTACCACCAATGGATATTTGTTTGGATTGTTTTGCAACTCTGGAAAGTAAATAATGGGGCTGTAAGGTCTCCAAGAAATTTTTTGGACTTGACATTTCTTTTTTTAAAAAAAAAAAGCATAAGACCCACAGCTTAGAAAGGGGAATTTTAAAAAAAAAAGTTCCCTTGGAGCTATCCTGTGAAGACCTTAGATGAGGATGGTTGCAGAGACTAGTGCTCCGGAGAAGAATATGGTGAACTAGGTTACCTTTCAGAAAACAGTTCGTATCCCACTCCTGAAGTTGGGATAAAACCCAGAGGAGGTTATTTTTAGCAGAGTATGTTTAAGCTCTGATGTATAATAGCTCTAGAAAGAACTTATCTGTCATTCTTGTCAGTATGTTAAACTGACAAGTGAAAGTGTTTGAGACAGGGACTGTGGTGAGAGTACTGTGGAAGTGGTATTTTTGGTCACGATGCAAGGTGTGTTTGGATATTGTACCTTGATGTTTTGAGTGATATACAAAAAGCTTGGTTTTTTAATCATTTGTAAGGTCCTATTTAGAATTAGAATTCATTTTATTGTCATGTACTTACTGGAGTATAGTGAAAATTTAGAAGTTGCCACTTATGGTACCATCTTAGGTACAAAGGTACCGAGGTACACATTCTTAAGTACAAATTTTTTAGGAGGAAAATAATTAGAAAAATAATAAAAAACAAAAAAGTCCAGCATTTCAGATCATGGGAATAAATTAGAAGATAAAGAAATAAAAAGTTCAGAATAATTGTTCTTTCAAACCAGTCAATGCTGACACCTAGGCTCTAGTTTATGCTAGGCTTCACCTCCAGGCTGAGAGACTGCTCTGGAATCATCTCGAAGCCAGAAGTCCATGCTGAGGCCACACCACAGTATCATGCACCAAGAGATTGCCACGCCATGTCTGTGCTGCGGCCAGGAGTTCAAGACATCGCTGAGAAGAAAGGATGGGGGGAGGGGAAGAGAGAAACAAAAAAGAGAAAATTGAAAAACTGAGCAGATGAGATTTGGCTGAGGAGTCCTACTGTGCTGCCATCATGTTTAAGAATCTAGGAATCAGTGGGAGTTTCTTTTACCGAGCGTGTTAGAACTTGATTCATTCTATTTTAACTTCATTTCTTCTGTTAATAAATTTGTTCTAATATTAAAGCAGGATCAGGAGCATTGTGCGCTTTCAGTGAAAAAAAATGCTTAGTTGAAACCAAGACAAGATCTCTCAAGCCAAGTTTCTTTTGGGATCTGACCTGTCTGCTATGAACATCAGCTAAGATCATTACAATAAATTACACTCCAGCATCATGAGCTATGATGTGAAAACTTGAGAGAAGCCACTCTGGTTTGTTCTGGTGACTCAAAGGCAGCTGGCACAGTGTACTACTGCGTAATTAAGGGGTCATGATGGCTGCCAGGATAATGAGCATTGGCCTGCATGAGTAGTTGCACGTGGTGACTTCAGCTGAATGTTGAGGGAGTGATAGTCCTTCAGATTCCGGTACTGGGCAGATTTGACGAGGGGAATCAGTTATGTAAAGTTTAAGGAGATAGTGATATTTCTGTGGGTTTTGAATCTCTAATGGATACTGTTGGAAAACAAATTGAACGTCGTTTTAATGTTTATAAGCTCTTTCTAATTCCCTTTAAATAGCTTTATTTTTGTTTTGTTTAGAAAAATGTATGTTTTGTTAAAGAACATCTGCAGCATTGTGTGAAATCATTGGTGACTAACCATGTTGTTAACAATGACAAAAAACAAACATATGATCTATCAAAGATAGTAGGAACTGCAGATGCTGGAGAATCCGGGACAACAAGGTGCAGGGCTGGATGAACACAGCAGGCCAAGCAGCATCATAGGAGCAGAGAGGCTGACGTTTCGGGCCTCGACCCTTCATCAGAAAAGGGGGAGGGGAAGGGGGTTCTGAAATAAATAGGGAGAGAGTGAGAGGCGGATAGAAGAGGGATAGAGGAGAGGACAGGTGGAGAGGAAACAAACAGGTCGAAGAGGCGGGGATGGAGCCAGCAAAGGTGAGTGTAGGTAGGGAGTTAGGAAGGGGATAGGTCAGTCCAGGGAGGACGGACAGGTCAAGGGGGCGGGATGAGGTTGGTCGGTAGGAGATGGAGGTGCGGCTTGAGGTGGGAGGAGGGGATAGGTGGGAGGAAGAACAGGTTAGGGAGGCAGGGACGAGCTGGACTGGTTTTGGGATGCGGTAGGGGGAGGGGAGATTTTGAAACTTGTGAAATCCACATTGATACC